AAGCTGGCCCTGCCCTGGGTGATCCAGAGCAGCCACGAGATGTCCCTCATCACAAGCACCGGGTTGAAACGCCAGGGGTTGCAGAAAATGGAACAGGACATAGAAGATGGTACTTGCTTTCTTATGAGGTTTATAATTCACATTTAAATAATCTAACTGCCATAGTGTCTGGTATTTAAGGACTCCAGGTGCAAAAAAGGTAAAGCTTACAATAAATATTTAAACCCCGGCATTTTTATTGAATCCCCCGGCATATTTTGATATCCATTCTGCTGGCCCGCAGTGTCTGTGAATCATCTTGACGTGGTAAATGAAATTCCTTTAGACCACCAGTCTCAAATAATGAATTGTTCCCCCAGTTAATTGTATTGCTTTGATAACAAGGAACTGTGCTAGGCCCAGAGAACGCAATAAGTGGATTTCATCAGATGATTTGTGTGACGTTTTGAAAAATGATCTTCTAGACTGACCTGATTTTCATGGGACGCTGCGCAGCATCCTCCTGGGAGCAAGGGCTTCCTCCTTTGGTTTGGGGAGCGTGGGGTCGTCGCCGGGTAACCCAACACTGGGAAATGGTTCCGGGGCAATCTACACCAGGAGGAAGCGTTTGCCTCAGAGGGTGAAGCAGAGAACTTACTTCTAAATTGCTCTTATTTTATTGATGCATATTTTTTTTTAATCCAGGAAAGATCTCAAGCTCTGTCTATCTCTTCATCATAGGTGTAAAAATAAACCAAACAACAAGCAAAGGCTATCTGTTCAGAACTTGCTGTCTATGGCCGGGAGTCAGGCGCTAAGGCTGGTCTTGGCAGAGACCTAAAGATAGGCAGGTGTGTGGGGACTCCAGAATGGAACACAGAGAAGCCTTCCAGGACACGCTGACTGGGGGCTGTGGCCTTGGGGAGTAAGCTGGCGACCTCGATGCAGGGCGTCCTGTGTGGCTGTTGGGGGGGCATATTTTCTTTTCTCTGTTTGGTACTGAGTTGGAAGCAGGGACAGAACTTACAGAAGCTGTCAGTGATTGATCAGGTCCTGGTATTGGGGGCCCATCAATACAGAGCTAATCATTTGACTTCTAGAACTATTAGGGGAGACAGCAGTCAAGCTTCCTGCAAGGATGACATGGCAGGGGGACTTCTGTGCTGCTTGCTGCCATGGGGGTCGGTTCCCCAGGCAGCTTGCCACTGCTTGTGGGCCAGGGTTCTGGTCTTCTGCATGGTCTGGCCATTGCCCATTTGTATCTTTGGCCTCCTACAAGCACATAGATATCACATTGCAGGGAAAGCAGAGGTAATATTGTCTTTTTGAAAGAGCTACTGACTTGACTTTTCTTTTTATCAATTAAGAAAATTAGATTCCCTACGATAAAGCATGCTGATGGGAAATGATAGAAATGACTTTAATTTTCCTTTCTCCCTTCTGTAATGAGTCTTCCATACACTAGACAATTCAGGAGGACAGGGGCCTCCTCCTCACTCTCCCCTACTCTTTTGTGTCCAGGCCCCCTTGTAGGTTGGACGAGGCCCTAGCAGTTTGGGGGTTGCTATTGTTAAAGTTCTCCCTACATTCAAACAGGAAGCCAGGCAGGCACAGTAATCCAGTCTTGCTCCCAATAATCTGACACTTAAGTGTGCACACAGGTAGCTACAACAAGTAGTGTGTTACTTATTAACAACCTGACAGGATTTGTACAGGGTTTATTCATGGCAGGCCACACGCTGCGTGGCGCAATAAAGCACACAAGCTTAAATCTCAGTGAGAGCCTCACCTGGCCCATCAAGAAGATGAAACCTGCGCCAGGGGCCTTTCGGTGTCCTCTGTGAGTACACCTGGTGGCCACTCAGATGTCACCCGGGAAGGAATGCAGGGTTTCCTACCTTCGTATTGCCATTTACACGGAATCTGAAAGTGCAGTTCATTTTCCATTTTCATAGGGAAGGACCAAAAGCTGTCAAATGAAAATAAGCATGATTTGCAATTTCATTTGTAAATTAAGAACTGAAATGTGGTTCAGGATTTATTATTTTCAACTGGATGTGTTTCCAAGTTTACGGACCATTACTAAGCCCCGGATGTGCTGTGAGAGACAAGGCTTTAATTAGGCTTTGCACTTCGCATGCCCCAGAGTACAGACACAGTGACGGTTTCCCATTAGCATACTATTTCCTGGCAACTGTTTGCTGGCGCTGTACCTTCTGCACGGGAATGCCCTTCGGAGCAACATGTAAATGGGAAAGTATTTGTTTTCTCAGAACTCCTTCGGACTTGGTCACACAATAGTTTAATGGATAACATGAGTTCATATTTGGATGCTGCGATCATTGAAATTAGTGTAAGTGGTCTCTGTCCACGTGAAAGTAAACACATACGTATCATTTGTCATATTTGGCCATCGCCGGACTGCGTGGTGCCAGGAATGAAATAGCAGGAGGCTGCGAATGGCGACAGTGGTTTGCCAGGAGATGAAGGCCTGTCGGAACTGCACTTTTCGGTTTGCACAACTGGGGTCTGTGGGTCTCTTTTCAGTAATGCGCTTCAGCTCCCTCCCTTAAAGAAGCAGCACAATAAGTATTTCCTATGGCAGAATAAGTGACCAAAACATCTGTGCTGGACATGTAAGAAGTTCGTATGTGCTATTCAAAAGTCAAGAAAGCAATTTTTATTTAAACTTTGACCCCTTGATCTTATGTTGCCTCTGAGAAATGCAGGATGATATTTAATATCCTGAAAGAGGACATTCCTTAACAGCAACCCTCCAAGGGTGAATATGGAAGATTAAGGAATTAGCTGTCGATAGCTATCACTTTTTAAGCCCCTCCCTCTAACACCATAGGTTTCTCCTCCACAAATAGCTGCACTTCTATTTACAGATCTACTTCAGGCTTCTTTTTTCCTTTAAAACATACATGTACTCAATCATATACATCTCCATGTATCTCACATGACCTTGCTGTTGCTCCTGTAAACCAGTTAAGAGCAGACTGACCCACAGGAATAAACCATACTGTCTCATGACACATTCCATAGGGTAAAATCCACGTGTGAGGCTTTTTAGCATCAGCACCCCGCGGAGCTGTCCGTGAGGCCTCAGGGGTGGGGTCAGCTCCGTCCAGAGTCAAGTCCCTGGGACCTTGCGGAAGGCACTCTGGCCTCTTGGTTTACCGTGTGATTTGGTACACCCTGTTTCACTCCAGAATGATAGGGGGCTCGATAGAAACTGCAATGATGTGTGGGTAGCCATGATAAACCGGGGTATCTGTGTGGAGCCATTGCTTTGACAAATTTGGGAAATTCTTTATTATGCCTGAACATTTTACCAGATGTCCCTGTCCATCAGTGGACAACAGTGGGTAACTAAACTGTTTTGGGGGATTGCCCAGGAGAGCTAGAGATCACTTTCGGGTTGATATTCTGCTGATAATACTCAAGGCCCTGTTCTTATATGTAAGATATTTATCAGCTGAATTTCTACATGTTACCTTTCTTCCACATGCTCCTGTGCAGAGCACAGTTTTATTCCCGGGCTACTTTTGCTCTTCCTCATAAAAACAGTTTAAGTGAATGAGAAGATAAGCCACAGACTGGGAGACAATATCTGCGAAACACATATCTGGTAAAGGACTGGTGTCACAAATGTAAAAGAAATTTCTTAAAGCAGCAATAAGAAAACAAATAGCTCAGTGAAAAAAGAGCCAAAGATCTGAATAGATAACTCACCAAAGAAGATATACATATATCCAAAAAGCATATGAAAAGGTGTTTTAGGGAAATTAAAAATTAAAACAACAATGAATTACAGCTTCATACCTATCGGAATGGCTAAAATCCAGAACGCCGACAATACCAAGTGCTGTTGAGGGTGTGGACAACAGCAGCGAGCGCTCATTTCATTGCTGGTGGTAACGCTAAATGGCACAGCAATGTTGGAAGGCAGTTTGGCAGTTTCTTTCAAAGCTGAAACCTTACAGTGTGACTCAAAGTTTGTGCCCCTAGTTGTGAACTGAAAACTTAGGTTCACACAAAACCTTGGAAAAGGATGTTTATGGCAGCTTCATTCATAATTGCTAAAAACTGGAAGCAATCTGGATGCCCTTAAGTGGATAAACAGATTGTGATTTATCTATACAATGGAATATTATTCAGTGATAAAAAGAAATGAGCCATTATACCAAAAAAAAAAAAAAAAGGATATGATGGAACTTGAAGGCATATTGGTAAGTGAAATAAGACGATCTGAAAAGACTTACATTTTACTATTCAAATTATATGACATCCTGGGAAAGTCAAAATTATAGAGACATTTTAGAAAAATTTATCAGTGATTCCCAGAGGCCCAGGAGAAGGGGAGAAATACATTGATAAAGTACAGGGGATTGTTAGGGCAAGAAGCTATTCTGCATGATACTTGGTGAATGGTGAATGCATGACATTATACATTTGTCAAAACGCATAGAGCCATTCAATACCAAGTGTGGGTCCTAACACAAACTGTGGACTTTAGTGTATAATCATGTTTCAGTATTGGTTCAATTTCTGTGAAAACCTAAAACTTCCCTATTTTTTAAAATTTTAATGCAGTGACCTTTGTTACACACACACACACACACACACACACACACACACACACACACAAATAGTAACCCTGAAAATCCCTCGTACATTCATAGCAAACCTGTGTTCAGACACAGAAACTTAAGTTGGGGGTCCTATCCACAACTCTGCGGTATCGTGTCCTCTCTGAATTGGACTGTGTGACGTCAGAGCCAATGAACTTTGTTAGATCCTTGTTCTTCTCTCATGAGCGAAGTTCATATGTTCAAGTTAAGTAACATCATAAGTAAAGACTAAACTACCTTGTACCTTCCATTAAGCAGCTAAACGTTTGATGGCTGAATGTAGAACAGCGTGATGACGGTGCTAAGCCACCACGGTTGGCCCATGTTGGTGTATCCTAGCAGTACCTAACCACACATTTCAAGGCCTCTTTCTTTTTCTTCCAGGCCTCGCCATTGCCAGCGCCCTCATAGATATTTCACAGCAGAAGCCTTCAGACAGTAAAGACAAGACTTCCGGAGTCCGAAACCGTAAACCCCACCTCTCGACGCGTCAGGGAACTTGTGTCTGAGGAACGGGAGCTGCTCCTGGATCACTTGTACCGTCTCACTTTGTCAGTGGCTTCCGTTCAGGCTGGTCCACGGCCTCAAGTTTTATGGAGGCGAAACTATGTATGGTCCCAGGACCCAAGTACAGTCCCCTGCAGATGGGCAATGACCCAAGTGGCCAAAGAATGTTCACGGGTTTTATAGGAGTAACAGTACTGAAGGTCAAGGGTGATAAAGTCAGTTTTTAAAAGTCTCTTAAGCAAACCCTAGATAACATTAAATTGCTCTGGAAAAAGATGTATATTGTTTCTTATGCAGATGAAAAGTATGTAATTCGTGTAAACCAAACTGTTTATAGCCCAAGACATTAAAGAAAGACATTTTATAATGCCTGAATGATGAGAATTGTATAGTTTTTGCCTCATGAGCAAACTTAAATCACTTATATATGAACAGGAAATGAACAAATGGCAATGGCTTTAAATACTGTTTTTTCTCACTGTAAATGTAAATGCAAGATTTTGATTTAGTAGGATGTAGGCAATGTGTTTCAATTTCTCACATGACAGTATCAAGTTCAAACTCATTTTGAGAATGTGGCTATTTCCACCCAACTGGAATGCAGAACCAAATGAATGCACTTAGACAGATGGTAGGTGTGACTTCACAGGAGGTTTATTGGAATTCTGAGGAAAGAGAACCTTCCTGTGGTCCATGCTGACCGCCTAACTCATTATCAGAGCTGATAGAGCCGGGAGGAGCTGGTCCAATGATCGATTTTCCCACTCCTTCCAAACACAGCCTCCGTGCCCCAGAGCTGCAGAGAGCTGCGGTAGCCCTTCTGCTCTGACGTGGCAATTTGTAATTGCCTAGGAGCCATTGAATCAGGACTCAATGATCCCTCTGCATTTTTATAAGAAGAGATCATCTTTTTTTGGTCTTTGTCTCCTAGCTGCTAGAGTTTATCTATTCTTTACAAATGTGATGGAAAGTATTGTAGAGGCGACAACTCCCAAGTTAGAATATGACCCAGGTTCTTTCCTGCCAACCATTTCACTGAGACTACAAGCAGACAGGAGTATTTGCCGGCAAGCATCTACAGAATTCTCATTTCTAACATGAACATGTTAGTGTTAGGAGAGAAAGTCTCCAGTGTAAAAAAGAAGTTCATTATTGCCCCCATGCAGCCTATTATTAGTGACTCAAAACCAAATTATGGCAGAAAGGAAAAGCGATGCAAAATGGCCTTCACATTGGCACATAGGACCACGTGTGTTCTGAGTTTGACCAAGTGCACGAGAACTCAGTAGCATGACGGATCTTCCTGGGATGTGTAGGTTCCTAACTTCAGGGTGACTACGAGACATTTGCAGAGAACACTGAGAGGTGTCCAAAGCTGCTTTACATGATACAGTTTTGTTCAGTATGAAAGTCACTGAAGTATAACTGCTGTTTAGAGATACATATGCGCTTTTCACGTTCTTTGGGTTTCTGGAAGGTAACGAACAGCACGTCGCTGTTTACAGCTAACGCGTAGTTACTTGCATGCTATGGTTGTGATATGAAATGTTGATTTTATAATGCCATTTATACATAGCCAGCTTTCATTTGATGAGGATTGAATGTAATGTATATCAGGAATGATCATACAACATGTAGTTGCATCGTATATGAGATTGCTAGGTTGCTTCTAACCATGACTATGTCATTGTTTTCATAATTAGGCATTTATGAATTATAGTATATATTCCTTATGTTCGCATGATAATTTTGCTATTTTCCATGCGTTAAAAATAAGACTAATTCTTAGAGTAATCTTACCTATAGCCTGTGGGGTTTTTGCGGGGGCCGGGAGTGGAGCTGGATTTTACCTCCCTATGATATTTTCTCCCTCAAAAAAAAAGTGAGCAAAGTTTGTAAATGTCTCCTAAACACAATCAAGCAATTTTATTAGTTTCCTTTTTGGACCCTTAAAATGTCAGTTTTTCTCCTGGAAAAATAAACCGACAAAACTGGTGATTACAAAAATATAATCATTTAAAAATAAAATGATTACCCAATTTGTGTAATTCTCTAACAATTGTCCTGAGAGAGAGCTTATTAGCAAAAAACACACGGAGTAGTATGTAAGTCAATTTCAGCTATATTTTTTAGAGAGTCTAAGCAAACGGTGTTACTGTAAAGAATTGTTCACCTTCAACCACCTCGAATCCCATCAGCTTCTTAAAATTTGAAAATGTGGATTTTGGAGAATTAGGGGACATAATACAGTGTTAAAGTTGTAACATACTTTCCTGCTCCAAATATTGCAACCTTGTGACTACTTATGCATTATCTTCTCGAGTTATCCAAGCTTTTTTACTGGAGATGAAATAATCATTCACCCTCAGGTGAAGAGGATTGAAAAGACCTTAGGGATAATGACTTTTGAATGTGTCGTGTCATTGAATATTTTTGTCTCCACGTCACAACAATTTTAATTTTGAATGCTCCCTTTTATTTTCAACGAAACCACAAGTGTGCAGAACTCTTTGAGAATTTAGCAAATACATGACTGATTCTCTTGAAAACTTATCTTCATGGAATTCTGTATATTATCAATTTAGAATGACTTTGGAAAATTCTTTAGATTTTTAGGATTTATGATTCTTCCACATATGAAAATGCTGGGTTAAATGGAATGGAGTTTCTAAAATTAGCCTGGGGACAGACACTATTTAGACCCAACTAGAGAATTCTTCTTGAAAGATTGAACATGCTTACAGGTTGATTTAATACATATTAAGAGGATTAGGATTTTTGCAGTTTATTTTTATCAAAATTTATTCTAGGGATACACATGGAAAATGTATGCCATATACCACTGTGTTATGCTCACTAGGACAACTTGAAATAGGACGTGTATCACTGTGTAATTGATACTTACTGTACTTTCCAGCCAGTCATTTCTGGGGGGCAGGGGTGCAGAAGGGGGTACCAGTAAGACAGAGTGACTGTGGCTGTTATTGTACTGCAGGGACATTCAGAGTGCAGACTGGTGCATGGGCCTGAGAACAGACGCAGGAACCAACTTTGAGCTGCGTGGTATGGGGCAAGTTTTAACCTTTGGAGCCTCGGACTTTTCATCTGTGAGGGGAGGTGGTGGTGCCCAGCGGGCAGAACTGTTGTGAGTCTAGAAGAAAATAAACATAAAGCTTCCACTGCAATGCAGCGTAGCTGCTACTGACCATCGTGGGGCCACCAGACAACTCTTCTTTTACCCATTGATGTATGAATTCGACTGTTAAGTTTTCATCCCTCTTTTCACCACAGGGAAAAGCCAGGCAGGTTTTTTGCAAATGAAGATTTCATGAAAATCTTGAGTAAGTTCCTCTGTGTCTAGGCTATAAAGGTTTCTCAAAAACTACTTTGATATTTGGGTTAGTGGAGGGTTTGACTCTTTCAAAATATGTACCATTTTAGTAGAGTAATTTTGAAATGATTGCTCTATGACATTTAGACAGGAACATCAGTTGCCACTTCTGCTTTCAAATTCAGCAAAAACAAATCAGTCCTTACATGTGGTTGTCATACATGAAGCATCTTTTTGTTCACTGGAAATAAAACTATGATTTGAAAAGTGAGTCATATAAAAGGTTTTTAAAATTTGACTGATCAAATGAATCAATTTCACCCACGCAGGCTTTTTAAGAAGATTAACTTCCAAAGCCCATCTGACATTTTATCCAAGTGTGGAACTTGGTCATAAAACTGGCCTGGGTTGGTACAGATTCCCTCCTTTTCTCTGGAGCTGGAGATTCCAAAGGACTGGATTGGACCCTGGAGATTAATATGCTTAATAAGCTCATCAGTGATTCTCACGATTAGGCAAATTAGGGAAATACTGCCCTGGGCCAGAGAGCTGCTCTTCTCAACACTTAGAAGAATTTATGTTCAGTAATGAATTCAAACTCTAATTTGAAATGCTTTAAATATTTTTCCAAGGAATATAAGCCATCTGGTCGGTGTTACAGCAGTATCTTCATTTTTGTGTATATTTAACATTTTAGTTTCCTCAATTTTTTTAAAATTAAGAATTAGGACCATATCAGCGTCCATGTATACAGGTGTGTGTGCCAGTGTTAAAACAGATTGTGTAAAAATTCAAACTTGCTTTAAAAAGCGAACATTTTATGATACCACGTGCTATTCATCAGGGTTAAATTACCGAAATAAAAACATTGGCTCTCCCAACCCCCACTGCTAATGCAGTTTTGTTATTTTTTTTTTTTTTACCCTTCCAAGATCATGTAGGAAAAAGCATTCAGCACCCGAATAAGGACCCTCCAGCCCCAGCTTCTGAAACTGGGTTATAAAATTTGTCTTCCTGAATTGCACATTCAAAATACATTTTCTCTCTGCCCCTCTTCCCCTGATTTTCGTTGGCTGCTTCTGCATGACTTGGAACAGTGTGCTGAACACTTAGACTGCTCCTGAGGGTGGAAGAAACTCACAGAGCCCGGGTGGGTGGCCAGGCTTCCAGCTCGCCCACTCAGCCCAGCCCACGTGTTTTGTGTTTGCATAACTTGTTCTTGCTTACGATAGAAGTCCTCTTTCTGCGACTGGGGCAGCTGTGGCATAGCTGAGGCATATCCTAGAAAAGGCCGCTTGTTCTTTGGCATGCTTTGGATTGAGTCCCCACGTTGCCACCTGCATCCCAGCCTCATGTCAGCGCCGCTGCTCTGCTGGGTCTTTGTCTAAGGAGCAGCCCAGGAGAATCCAACGCCCCTCCTCTTCCCAGCCCCGTAGGATCCCTCCTGGGGTCAGATCCTCAGGCCGGCTCCCTGCCTCCTAACTGGAGGCCAAAATCAGGGTGGTCCTGTCTGTGCTCTAGAGGTTGGCATGGTGTCCTCCTCCCCCTCCATCACCCCCTCCAGCAGTCAGGCCAAGGAAGAAGCTGGGGCCAAGAGGCCCACTTAGCCCCGAGAAACACACGCAGCCCGGCTGGCATCTCCCAGAAGCTTTGAGAAAGAAAGAGAAGTTTGGGAGGGGCCCAGATGAAGAGGCGCCCGAAGGATAGAGGAGCGCTGAGCCGACTCCCAGAGCCCCTTTTGCTCACAATAAAGAGCGGCAGCTTCTCTGAACATCTGAGCCTTAACACATGTTTTAGCTTTTTGATGGTGGATCAGTAGCTATCGGGAGAGTTGAAGATTTTAGACTCAAAACTGACTTTGCGCCCTGAAGAGGTTTCTTCATAGAAATCACCTGTGAGTGGCCAGCGTGAGGAGGGGCGGGCATTTTTTTTTTCAGCTCTAACCCACAGCCCTTCTTGATGAACACACAACTCTCTCTCCAAATTCTCATGGCTTTTCCTACTTGGTTGTCATCATGGGACCCGGCAGAGGCCATAGCAGCCAAGATTGCATTGAACTCTACTCTCTCCACCTCCACCCAGCCCTGCTAATGAAAACAAGTATATTATTCTGCTTTCCGAATATGAGAGTACTTTACAACTTTGGTTGAACTTTTGTAAATTGTACCCCTTCCCCAATTCTGACCACATCTGCCTACTGGGGGTCCCATCCTTTGCTGTAATAATTCTGCTCTGTCCAAGGACTTGTCGTGCTGTGGTCCTAACTGTGCAAGAAACTAATGCCTCCTACCGCTGCAGAAACGCAGGACGAGACTCACTATCAAAAGGTCTGACAAATTTTATACGTGGCAGAAAAGTGAAATTTTCCCTCAGGCAACATAGCTATTTAAGCATAAGCTTTAAACCAGCCCTGTGCGTGGTCAGATAGAGGATACTGCTCTAGAAATCCACCTAGGAAAATAGCACTAGTGAGCAAACTCCTGTTACAGTTCTTCATGCATCTGTAGCCCCTTTGCCAAAAAAGATCTTAAACTTTGTGATTTCCAGTGAAGTATTCATCATCTTAGAATAGATCCTGGGTGGGGACACACTCAAGTTTTAATGTGAATTCACATACCAAAATTTTCTAATGCCTTGGGCCAGTTACCTAGGCCATTCTTAGGTAAACTGACATGAAAGTGATCCCCTAACTCACCTGCATGTTCTGATGACTTGTGATGATTTTCTGCTCTTGAAATGGGAAACAGATCAGAGTTAGACACCTTCTCCTTTTATTTTGAAAAGGTTCAAAGTTAAATTCGGGAAATCCCAAGCAACGATTTTTCTCTTGACTTTTTTTTGGTAACACTAAAGTGCATATATATGTGCCAAAGTTCCCAAATAACTGAATTGCAATAGGAACCAATGGCATGCATTACCCAAGTTGTGCTTTTCTGGATTTTTACAATGTTACATATTTCAAATGGTATCTTTCTCAACTCTAAATGGTAATTCTACAGCAAATACTACCAGCTTGTGTTGCATTTTTGTCCCCATCATCAGACATCTCCCCTGGCCCTTGAGCACCTGCTCATCTCATGTACCGCAGCAGCAGATAAATACATCACATAAAACAGGTCTTGCACCCCTTCCTTTCCCTGTGATGATGCACACTGACAGCAGCAATCTTTTCCTTTAGGTCAGCTTGTCTGAAATACGATGGCACTTAAAGGGAAGGCCGGCCGGAAGGACACCAATAAAAATACCAGCTCAGCTTCAAACAATTTGATTTCAACCCAAAATGCATTACCTTGCCACACAAATAGGGAATGGCAAACAGAATATCCTACTTATTAAGACTATTGCTTGCTGAGAATCAGAACGTCAGGTTCATCCGAAGCTCATTATCTTGTGAGGTTAAGAGAATGTGGTCTCCGGAACATTTATGTGCAGATGAACTAGTTGGAAGAAGAAAAAAAAAAACTGAGTACCCAATGTCCACGCTGCTGATTTCTGAAGCGATGGCTGCAATTTGACCTTTCTACGCAAAAGCTCAGTCAGTTGGCCATTAAAGGGATCAGCCTTCCAGACAGCATCCATTGTGTCTCAGAAGGTGGCATCTGTGATGAGGGTTACAAACTAGAAGTTTGTAAAGATATGTAAGGATGCCTTGTTCGTGTTTTTACACAAAATATGCAATGTTCTAGTGACATGACGTTCCATTTCTAAACGAGTATCCAGAAGATGGTTATGTGGCACACGTTTCATCAGTCATTCTTATTTCGATGGCGCATATGAACCACTTACGTTTTGTGCATTAGTGAACTGAGAATTACTTTGGCCAAAGGTCCAATGTCCAAAGAAAGTCCATGCCTACACGGGAACCCCTTGGCAAAAACCAAAAACAAAACACAAACACAATTTTTCTGGTGTTTCCAAATATTATAACCATGTTTGTATCCTTCCATGCTGCATTAATGATAGCCTTCCTTCTTTTTTGATGCAGATTACTTTGGGTTGGTATCTTGATGTAGTCTTGATAATTGCCCCTATCATGGAGTCGCTAAGGGATTATTTGTGGTATTTGCAAAGATTAGGGCAATGCCAAGTTCATCGTTTTAATGGAATGTAAGACAAGAATAATGATTGATAAGTTCTACAAAGTTTGGAGTCTACTCTGACTGTGGTCTAAAGTTTTATTCCACTTGTCAAACAAGTCACTCATTTTACTAAAAATTAAACACAATTTTCCAAAATTAGGTCTTAATTGTGTTAATATCAACCTGAAATGGCAGCCTTTGGGGGTGTTTGGGGCTTTATGAACCAATCGGTAAACTGTACAATGACCCAGAAATATTCCTGGACATAGAGTTAGTTGAATCAAATCTGAAAAATTTTCAAAGACTTACAAACACATGATCTAGTGGTTGAAATGAAGACCCCTGAGCAAACTAAAATAAAACCCAGATTCTATCTTCCAATGAATGACTGAGACTCACAGCATTTTTTGTACCTTGTGTAGTAAAAATGGCCACTTCCTCTCTTTTAGGATGCTTGTGAGAAGTAATAGACTTCTCAGAACTTTAGATCCAGTCCCTGACACTGATATAATCGGGCAGGCTATCCATACAGTTTGGTGCACATGCCCTTGGTAACCTTCTTTGAATTGTCATAACACCTATTACAAATTGATTTCCTAAAGATGTCTCCGTGTTCAATGTTTTCTAGATTTTAAAGGCAGGAGGGATGCATCACATCTCACTGACCTACAGAAGCTGTCGTAACTACTGTCTTGGTAGATAAAGACATGTGTAAGGTGCCACCGTCACGATTTGAATTTCCATCTGTAGCTGGAGTCTGTGGAGTTTAACACTGGGGATTTCTGTCCCACTTTTAAATGATAAAGTCACTCATCTGTACCTAAGCATCTGAAATGTTATCAGGTAATTATAGAAATGAGGTATTTTACCCAAAGCGTTGAAGTTTGCGTTAGAAAGAACAGCTCACATCAATTCTCAATCAATATTGGCATATGTAAGATATTTTTAAAGCTCTCAACAAAATAATAAACTAACTCTTCCTGTTAGTCATCATCTAGATATTTTTCTTTCAGATAAACAATCTACGGTGTGTTTACTGAAGCTCGCATTGATAGTCTCTAATGGTGTTTCAACTTGAGTTTCGTTCCAGCAGCAACATGAAATGAGTCCACGGCGCAGAGCAGGCGGGCCCCTCTGGAACCTGAGATTATTTGTTCTCTCACTGTTCTAAAGGTAATTAAGGAGCATTGCATGTTTCTCAATTAATGATTTCTCATTCAACAGGGGATCTTTGATGCTAATTTGTTTTAATCAGGGCAGAGGCTGCTCAAAAACTCCAAACAATTCAGTGAAGAGGAACTAGGAATTTTTAATCAAGTAGAAGAGATTTAAATGCTCTGAGGAATGTATCCATCATCTACTTTCAACTCCTGCTTATTTAAGTATGTTCTTTTGAGTGTTATAAGCCAATGTGAGAATTATTACAGTGTATTGTATCATCCAATGTGATATTTCTTTACATATTTATGTGAGTATGCAATGAACTCCATTTAAAGCCTACTTACATACAGCCTCCCTTCCTCTCTCTAGAGAATGAATGTATGCATACATCCAATACCCTTATGTAGTACATACACTTACAAATGTAGAACAGTATCTGTAAGAGCGCATGTACATGTAGCAAAAGAATAATGGAAGATATAAATGTGCCTTAGGTTTAAAACATTCTGTTCACCCCTTGGACAACTATCCTCAGAAGCTGGCTGTGCATTATTTGAGTTGTGGCATCAAATTGCATCACATACATGGAAACACAACCTA